GGGAGATATTGCGCATGCGCGAGCACCGTTTCCGACGTGCAGTACAGCCTAAATAAAAGTACGTAATATAGCTTGCTGCGGGAGAGAAGGGTGGTGGACTGAGGGAATGTGGCAGGGATAACAGCCGAGGGGCGGTGGAAGAAGAAGGAGGCTGAGCGTGCAACAAGGGAGACAAGGGGAAGGCCGGGCGGCAACATTTTTTTTCCCACTTGAGTTCCGGACCACAGCCAATCAGCGCACTCCATTCACTCGACTTCCTCAAAGCAACAATGTAAAATGAATACCTCCTAACCCTAACCCTAACCCTAACCCTAACCCTAACACGTAACCGAACCCTAACACTAATTATAATCCAACCATATATATAAGAACCATTTATTACAAAACACTATCTATGGTGGGTCCGGAACTCAAGTGGGGAAAAAAAATTTGCGGCCAGGCGGGGATGAAGCAGTAGTTTTGTACCCTACTGGCTAGGGCGCTCTCCTAATTATACACACAGATCTACTGACAATAATTTATTACAGAAACCTATGCTGAGATACCCCCTGACCAAATTAAATTCGTATTCATTAGAAAATATAACTCCGCTAGTGAGATATTGCCCTTGCGCTAACATACTAACGTAGCCAGATTGTATACTGGCTGGTATATGGAACAAGGACCTTACATGCAAGGGCTTCTTCCCACATCTTAAGTGAGGTCTACTGTTGGAATATTATTATAGAAATCTATATGCTGGGATAACCCCTCTTCATTTTAAATTCATAATTTTGGCAAAATATTCTTCTTCTTGGGAGATATTGCGCATGCGCCTGCACCGTTTCAGACGTGCAGTACGGCCTAAATAAAGGTACGTAATATAGCTTGCTGTGGGAGAGAGGGATGAGAGACTGAGGAAAGGTGGCAGGGAAGACAGCCGAGGGGCGGTGGAAGAAGAAGGAGGCTGAGCGTGCGACAAGGGAGACAAGGAGAAGGGCGGGCGGGGATGAAGTAGTAGTTTTGCACACTACTGGCTAGGGCGCTCTCCTAATTATAAACAAAGGTCTACTGATAATAATTTATTACGGAAACCTATGCTGAGATACCCCCTGACCAAATTAAATGCATTTTCGGCACAAAATATAACTGCTCTGGTGAGATATTGCGCATGCGCCCAAACAGTAACGTATAGCCAGCTTATGTACTGACTGGTATATGCAGCCGAGACCTTGCATGCAAGATCTGCTTCCTATTTCATAAGTGAGGTCAACTGATGGAATATTATCATAGAAATCTATGCTGGGATAACCCCCCTTTATTTTAAATTCCTAATTTTGGCAAATATTTTTCTTCTTGAGAGATATTGCGCATGCGCGAGCACCGTTTCCGACGTGCAGTACGACCTAAATATAAGTAGCATACTGTATTTTCTCACAGCCGATTATTTAATAAGAATCGCACATATTAACGTTCGTTCTTAGAGTTTCATTGTCGAATACATCATTAGCATTCTAGGAACCCGCAATGTAACTTATCATAGTAGTCTTTTCCCCAAATAATAAAATAATGCCATAAATGCTTAATTTAATAATGAATAATAAATAACGAACAAAGGTTTCTTTCTTGTTACAGCAAAAATTCGCTCCCTCGCTCCGACGATCCACCGATCCCCTTCAGCGTGTGCCGAGTTGAACTAGTGGTAGCGGATCTGCATCCTGTAGAGATGGTCCATGCCTCAGCTACACACAAGTCTCCCCCTCCCACGAGAAAGCAGAAGTTTTTCTACAGTGAGAGTCCCCCCCTCCCCCTCTCACACACACACACGCAGCCACTTGTCTCGGACAATGGGAGCACGTCCTGAC